CAGCTAAATCGAGCTAGGAAATTGCCTTCTGATAAACGGGTGGCAGCAGGTGATCAGAACTCTGCTTTTGAGAAAATTGAGAACGTTATCATGGGTTTAGCTCTAGACTTAAATGTGACCATAAAGGTGAACGTCATCAGGAAAACAGATAAGCATATGGATGTAGGCATTATTACATGGAGAAAGAAGAAACTGCCTATAGACAGTACTGAGGCATGTTAATCTGGGGGTTCAGTTCTGGATTCACATATTAATGTAATACAAACTATAGGGGTGCCAAGTCTGAGCAATGTAGAAGAAGTTATCAAGAGACAAAATAAAGTTTGTATGTGACTCACAGCCACACCTAGGAAAAGAAAACAGAGCGTAACCTCTGCGTTTGACGCTGAACTGAAATCGGAGTGCAAGGAAGAGGCGGTTTCAGGAACCAAAATTCTACAGCGTATCAAGACAGACTTCGCTCAGAGGTCAGCAAATTTTTATAAATTAAGAGAATATTCAGATAGGGAACAAAGGCCAGATTTGAGCACGACCTCGGTCATATTAAGTCCCTAATATCAAGCTACTTCGAGAAAGAGTTTCAGAAGTAAGCATCTGTAAGCTTTATAGAATAAAACAAAAGGTGGATTCCGAAAGTCCTCGGTAAGCCGTCACTTGAAGGTTATGTTTGCCACTGCTGAATAAAGGAACCTGATTCTAGGTAACTCACTCAATCTGATTGGATCCGGAGTATACGTCCGTGAGAATCTCACCCTAGCTGATTGTATTAAGAGACGAGCTGCAGAAGTGGAGATAATGGAGTGCCGCGAAAACGGTGAAAGAAATGTCGTTCTTAAGGGTTAAGATGGCACAGGTACTCAGTGTTTGATAACGCTTATACCATTAACACCTTCTAATATAACTCGAACCCACTAAGAGAAATCAAAAGACAGAATCGAGGAGATCAGAAGTTGTATTTGACGATTGCCAATATATCGAAATTGTCTAATGTGGTCTGGCTAGCGATTGCAGTAGATATTGAGCACGGCGTTCCCACACGTGATCTGGTGCGGATGCCTGACCGAGCGCCTTCAGCTGGTGAGTCCACTAAAACTAATGTGGTTAGCATCCAATGTCGAAAACTTACAGAGCTATTTATTTTGGGGATTTATTTACCGCTACAAGGGTTGTCAAATTGTAAAAGTTCGTAGTTAAACGACCACCAAACTACTCTGGATGGTAAGGGAAAGTTCTCCACATACTCAAAGGTACGCTACACAAGTGCTCGCAGCCTACTAAATAAAATGGCAGAGTTCAAGTCAATGATGATTAAAACAAATCAGTACGTTATTGCTGTCTCAGAAACCTGGTTAACGTCAGAAGTATTTGATAATGAAATTCAGTTGACTGGTTTTTTATCCAGTAGGACTGATAAATTAAACCGTAGGGGAGGCGGGGTTATTGTGTACGCGAAAAGTACCCTAACCACGAGAGCAGTTGGGACAGTGTGAACTGGTGCGATGCAAGCTGAAATGTAGACGGCAAGATATTGGAGTAGTTGTAGTTTATCGCAGTCCAAATTGTGTAGTAGACGATTTTATACTGAGTAAACTTAAGTCCTGGTGTAACAACGGTAAAAGCCTTGTAGTAGGCGACTTTAATGCACCATATATAAACTGGGTTAACTTAGAAGTAGGGTCATCCATATCGTCGTTCGACTCCAAACTGTTAGAAACCTCGATTGGATTAGCATTATTCCAACACATTAGAGATCCCACAAGATACGACTTAAGAAACTCTTTTCTTTTAGATTTAGTCTTCACACACGGTGATGACGTTGGTCAAACGGCTTTTCTCACACCACTTGGGAGAAGTGACCATGCAGTCATCATATTCAAATTCATGGCTGAGATTGCTTGTCAAACAATTGCACCGGCCCGTCCTAACATATGGAAGGCAGATATGCAGGCAATTAACTCCGCAGCATCGGCTGAGAACTGGGAAATTGACTCAAAGGCATCAGTACAAGAGGCATGGACTCTATTCAGGCAGTTATACAATCGGGTAACTCAACCATACATACCCTGGACTGTCTCAAAGAAAAAGAAGCACGGACATCCCTGGATAGGGCGGGATATTCGACGCTTACTAAGACAAAAGAAGAAATGCTGTGATGTTGCCATCCGCCTTGGCACAGCGGGTACGATGGAACGCTACAGATCGATAAGAAACGAGTGTATAACTAAAATTCGGGAAGCGCAAAGAAAATATGAAATGAAGCGAGATTACCTACGGACTGGAAGGACGAGATCCTCACTCCCGTACGTGAAACGGGACCACGACAAATACCATTGAACCACAGGACTGTAAGCGTCACCAGTGTCGTAGTTAAAATACTGGAAAAAATAATCAAACGGACCATAACAGCATTTATGGAAACCAATAACTTGCTGAACATGGAACAAAATGGTTTTAGAAAGGGTTTATCCTGTACAACAAACCTCCTTATAGCTAGGGAGCTCTGGATTAATGCGCTAGACAACGGAAACTCAGTGGATGTTGTCTACATAGACTTCAGTAAGGCTTTTGACAAGGTGCCAACTAATAGGCTGCTATTGAAGTTGGCAAACCTTGGTATTGCCGGACCTCTTTTAAAATGGATTAAGGATTTCCTAGTAGGTCGTAGGCAAAAAGTAAGAATAAATTCCAAGTGCTCCATCTGGAGACCAGTACTTAGTGGAGTACCCCAAGGTTCCGTCTTAGGTCCTTTACTTTTTATAATGTACGTTAATGATCTTACAAGTATAGTACAGTCTCCAATGTTATTATACGCTGACGATGTAAAAATTTGGCGAGTAATAACTGGAGACAAAGACGCATTTACTCTTCAGGTCTAAAGAGTGGCTAATGCCTATCAACTCGGAAAAGTGTGTCTACATGCACTTGGGGGATTCAAAGGTTAATACGTACAACATAGGGGATGTGTCATTACCCGTAGTCCGGTCTCATAAGGACCTAGGGGTGACAGTGAGCAATGATCTTAAGACGACGGCCCATTGCCGGGAGGTCGCAGTTAAGGGGTTTCGAACCCTCTGGGCTTTAAAAAGGACATTCACTAAGCTTGATACTACCATGTTCACCACATTATACACATCCTTAGTGAGAACTAAGTTAGAGAACTGTGTTCAGGCTGCAAGCCCCTGTTTAAAAGGTGACTCAGACATAATAGAAAAGGTACAGAGGGCAGCTACGCGTGCAATTCCGGAACTCCGGGGTTTATCATACATACTCTGCTCTATCGCAGACTAAGGGGAGATCTAATATTGATGTACAGAATACTGAGAAATGATTTCGGACCTAACTTATTCTCTCTCTTTCTTCCCACTAGATCGGGACACCTCAGAGGACATAGCAGGCGAGTAGAAAAGCCAAGAACGAACAAAATCCCCGTGGCATACAGGTTTTCACACCGAGTCATCAATACTTGGAACCTGTTACATGGAGCAGTGGTGTCCGCACCTTCAATTGACTCTTTCAAGAGATGTATGAAGATGTAACAGATATTTGAAGTTTGACAATTCTTTAACCAGTAACACCTAATATGAAGCGTACCGACCAAGTAAAATCAAAAGACAGAATCGAGGAGATTCGAAGATTTATTTTATAAGCTATCAATTTATCGAGAATCGACTGATCTTGGATGGCTAGCGATTGCAGTAGATGCTGAGCATGGCGTTCCCACACGTGATCTGATGTGGATGCATGACCGAGCGTCTTCAGCTAGGTGAGTTCATTAAAACTAATGTGGTCAGCATTCAATGTCGAAAATCTGCAAAGCTATTTATTTTGGTGATTTATTTACCGCTACACTATACTTAAGATTGGTTTATATTGATACGCACATTTACACAAGAGCATTCATATGCTTCTTATGCATGCTGAAGAACGATGATAGCTGACTACAATCATAGTGGTTTATTTATTTACACCGGTTGATTCAATTAGTCAAATTCTAATCAACATTGAATTAAGACATTTTTGAAATCACCACCACTCAACAAACTTGTGAATTTTCGACAGGTGCAAAAATTGGATGTAGTATGATATCGTTAACATTAAAATCATAGTAGGTTGTGTGATTTAAAAGTTTGCTCACTAGTGTAGGTCACAAATGTAGATAATTTGTTTCGGTGTTTGCAAGGTAATTCCATTTGAACGAGGATTATATGACCTGGCTTACGACGGAGACAAACATCGCATTTATTACCTAACGTGGATCACCCTTTCGTAATAACCAGGTACCATAACCACCCTGGTGACAGTGAAGAACTAGCATGAAGTTATTACAGATATGTATTAGTAAGAACAGGTATTTTAAACAGAATGTGACCAATGCAGCGTAGGTGAGATCAATAAGTTCTGCCAAATTATCCACGTTGCTCGTGCTTGTCTTTAGAAAGGCTCAGAATACTGATCGGGATTTAGAGACTCTCCAGATGAATGACACGTCTTATAATCAGTGACATTTCATCCCCCCAACAAAACATCTGAAATTCGATCAGACCTGTCCTGAAGAATGAACAGAAAGATAAAGAAGTCTTTATACTTTTGATCAAGTAATTTAAGGGTTTTCTGATACGTATTTATTTTAAGATATTCTGATATCCATTATAGAGTTCCATGAAAGGATTAAACGGTTTAACAATACATCTAAACTGTACCCAATCTATTTATGTGATGCTGTCGAAAGTTTTATAACTGCTCATATTTTTCTAAAAAATATCTGAACTCATGATATGAAATATAGTATAAATATTATCAATAAAAATTTGTTCAGCTGTTTGAACTACTCAAGTTTCAAGGCTGAGCGACCTGGTCACAAATCTAGGTCGTCGTCACGGTACCGACCTTTGGTCACGTTAGCGTCAAACTAAACGCTATTGGTCGGTGTGTAGGTTATTGGTTTTACATGGCCCTGGTATTTTAGTTCGTCCGTTCGCGGGCTAACTGCGAATTAGGACATGGCTTCTGTGGACCGAGGGGATGTGGGCGATATTGACGCACTTCTGAGGGCTGCAGAGATTTTAGAGAAAAAATTGTATTCAAAAGGTATTTATCGGGATTTTCAAGTATAGGTTTTTTTCAGGTGGTTATGGCACGGCTGACACACTTCGGAATATCAACGTGACTCAGTTTCTGGAGTGGTTAAGTACCGGTGACGAAGGTGATGGTAATGCCTCCCTGGATCCTAAAATGTAGGTCGAAGGTTATTCATTTATATTCGTTAGTTCTCCAACTATGCATGTAGAGCTAGCGAATCTCATACAAATGTCAGGATGTCAGAAAATCAGTGACTTACAGACAGTATTCGGATCAGCCCGCAAATTAGTTGTAAGTGTGTGTACCGTCTGAGGTCTATCAGATGCCTAAATATTTATATACCTAAAGATTGTTCGTTACATTCCCGTCTGTAACTCAACTTATCAACCTCCGAAATAAATTCAAATGCCACATTTTTCAATTTAGATACACGATATATATGTTTTTTGATATAAAAGTAGTACATATATTTATCGAGACTCGAAGTTGTGATTTTCCCACATTAGAGGCTCTTGTGATATATAACAATATAATAATGAGTCAGAATTATTTTGATTGATACTTTATTTTGATTACGTTGTTAAAACTGCCGTAAGTCTCTGAACCATGTGTGGTTTTATGTTTCACGTCTTACAATCAAACCAACACAACATAAGGTGTCGATATATGTAGCGCATATAAAATGTGGAATTTTTAGGTTGCATATTCCTTACGATTCAGATTTCAGCACTTCATTTCGTATGAATGTTAATCTACAATACAAGAAAGTTTTATGGACACGTGGTTCCTTAAATGTTAAAACTCACACTTCAGTATGCAAACCGGAACTTCTCATGCGTTCCAAATGGTTATGGTTCAAGTAGGAGCTTTTGCTGCTGATGCCTCCAGGTTAGTTTAGGTGCTAAGGTTATCGATAAAAAACGAGTGGTTAATACGGTCGAATGCTTTTTGAAATTTGGGGTACATGTTTGGCGTATAACATGGATCTTGCTACATCTACCACAATCTGTTAATTCGTGATACTGGTGCGATCATTCTTTAGGGTGTTGGTTCTCATAGTTCACAATAGGTCAGTGTTGCATATAAATTCTCTCTTTATCCTTTCTTAAGTATTTAGCCTCAATATTATTTCTTAATTTTTACTTGAATTCATCTCTTCTCAAATCATATTCTCTGACATTTTGTTGTTTGTATTTCCATCTATATCACTTATATTTCACTAAATCTGCTATTCATCTCGGTGTCGTATGTTAACCTGGACTGACCACATCTAGACATCTATTATGCTGACTCTCTAACTTCCTGGAACAGTGCTAATTAGATTCAATGGAGTTTATTAACCCAAGTTAATCTATTAGGACATCATAAGTTATAGCTTTTACCGACTTAGAGGGTATAAAAAAGTCAATATATTCTCTATGTCAGCACACCAGTAACAAATTTGTTTATTACCACTACTTTTTAATTTAATGTAGACATCTTAACTCATCCTTGATTAAATATAGTATATCAAACAATTGTTAACGAGCTTTTAAGAGTTCTAGTGGATCGATGAAATAAAGCTGTATGAAGATATATATAAGTAATAAACTACGCTGTGTGACGCATGATGTAGCTTGGTTTTAAAATAGAAAATATGGTGTTTACTTGAGACCATAAACCACGTAACAAAAGTAGCTAGTAATTTATATGATTCTTGGTCGACCATGGGAGCATAAATGCACAAAATCTCTTGAGGTCAGCAAAAACCTATTATTCATTTCAAGGTCCCCGTTATCATCTTTTTTCCCCACTCACGAATTACTTTTTTGTTTTACTTCTGAATTTCGCCAGTTTGGCCAATAAATTGTTGTCCTAAGTTTTTCAATTGTTTAGTATTGTTTAGTATTTCTTAGCATACTGTACACTGGCGTTGATCGAACAAGTTTGCATTTTGATCGAAATAATCAGTTTTCTTTATCTGGTTTCGATAGCTAAGAAGATTTTTAAGATCCATAGACTTTTTGTTAAGGTTACTGAGGTGTTCATCCTATTATCCTGAAATAGACATAAACGGACCAAACCCTTTGAATCACTGTGTACCTTGCAGGGTTATATGCTTCAAAACGTACCAATTGTATTACCGTTAATAAATATTTTAGTCTGAATCCTAACCTTAATATATAATCTACTGACATATTTTGCTCTCATGTAGCATTAAAGATTTAAGCGATCCAGAGATTCGGTAAACCGTTTAATTATGATTAACACTAATATTCATAATACAATTACAATGAATTTGTTTATCTGTTTGTGCGACTATAGAATGCACTTTATATAACAGAGGTGGATTCTGATTTTAGAAATGACCTCATGTGTTAAGGTATTAGAGTAAACACATGTAATTAACTAATGCATGATCCAAATACACAACATACAATGGTAATCCTCTAGCATTTACTGTATCCTTTAAACTCTTTGTCGATTCTAGATTAAAAGGATATCTACTCCAATCAAAACCCTAACCGTTGCTTCTACCTTGACGTAGTGGTTGGGATTGCCTATCGTGATGAACCAATCAGGCTATACAGGTTGGAACAATCGTTCCTCAAGGTCGTACTATGTCAAATAGGTTGATAGAAAAACGGTAAGACTAAAGCAGCAAACCTAAGGTCCGAGAGCAAAATCGTACTGTAGACTACAGCGGTATGAAGGCAATAAAGTGTTTCTCTAAGACAACAAGCATAACAGTGCTGCTGTCTTCCCACAGGCGATAAGTCGGGTTAAAAAGATCGACCATAAAAATACATATCTCACTTTATCCCACGGCTATCCGTCTCCATTGATAATGTCTAAACAAGTACATAGCTAATACAAAAACTAGCACCAAAAAGGTCATGTGTGACCGACCTCAAGTAGTCATCCCTTGGGCACTGTGGTCACGCTCTCAGGTCACTAAGACCAACTATAACCCAATTTCTTTTCCAGGCATCCTTAGAAGAACCCTTCCATGGTGTGTAAAACCGGGAAGTGCTAACCACCCTCATACCTCAAACAGTACTCAAGACCACTGAGTCAAAACTAACCACTTGGATATTAGAATAATCGCTAAACAGTCAGTCAGCTGCAACATAGGACAAGACATATACATGCATCGGTCCAAGTCACCATACCTCATTAGCACAACCAAATGAATACCAAATCCATAGAAGTAGTTACTTCAATGGTAGTAATATATAAAAGAAAGATTGCGTATAGGGATATAATACAGGAATAAAGAATTAGTTCGTAGAAAGAAAGATATAAATTAGTTTTAATCTTACGGTTTAGGGGAAGACAACGAGTGTATACACCTACGCCATTGTGATCGATTCTGAGCCATGTCACTCCGAGTCTCCAACCATTGGTTACGATAGTCATGCGGACCCCAACCATGTAGTCTATATCTACCAACATGGCCCAGACTTTATGGACTGATGTCACGTTTTGGTCTGGTCGCTCCTAACTTTCATCCATCCGTCTCCAACACCAGTCAGCATTGCAAGCCGTCGCAGTTGATGGTTGGGCATGCGTAACACCTGGCCCAACCATCTCAGTCGATGAAGATTCACAACCTCAACAGCTCATTTACCACCATTCCGTAACACCCTGAGTCCAGCCTCACTATTACTTACCCAGTGGTCCCAGCATATCCGAGAAATATTTCTAAGACATCTGTGATCAAATACTAGTAGCTTACAAGTATCTTCTACCCTTAATGACCACGCTTCGCAGTCTTAAAGTAGAACAGAGTGAACTGCTGCACAGTATACTCGTCTCTTAATTGGTAGACGGGTGTCTTGTCATCACCATAGGTGACGTAAGTTGGCAAAAGCCAAAAAAGATTTTTGGACCCGTGCACAGATTTCGTCAGACACAAACCCATTAGGGTAGTGCAGACTTCCAAGGTAAGTGGAATTGTCAACACGTCCGAGCAACACTTGCTATTGCACAAACGTAATCGTTCTCCATCTTGTTCTCTTTCTCGGACATTACTTTATCTATATCACACATTTTTCAGTTTGATCTGTCATATCTGACTGTTACCTTCATATTGTCTGCATTTTCATCCCCACAATTTGTTTTGGTGGTAGTGATATGGTGTAAACTATGACCTAGTCGTGCCTGGTCCTACGTTGTAGCTGACTGACTGACTGAAGTCGTACAATCTTAATATCTGCAATTCATTAATATTAGTAAAAGTATCAATGCGACTGTAGACTATTGTTATTGAAGAGCATAATGTTGGGAGTTACCAGGGGTTTACTAGTTAGTGTTCTAAGTTAACTTCTTGTTTTATCGGTTTTGGCGTGAATACATTACATTGTCTTCCTTTAACTCTTAACCAGGGTTTGCTTCCACAATTTGCAGTCCTTATTTTCATTTGTTTTTACTTCCACCCCTGTTTACCTTCGTTAGTGTCTTTGTTTTTACCCGTATTTTCCCTCTCCTTGTTCACTTATTTGTATCGAGTTTAACACTAGCGTTTTAAAAGAGTAGATTTCCATGTCTAATACCGCGTTCTCGTTTAGTTTTCCGTAAAATTTATATCTTATTCCATCTCTGTTTCTGTGTTGGATTCCATGAAAATTGAGTCAACAAGCTGTCCTCCCAGTCCCTAAAATGTTCCACTCTACCAGTTTCGCAGGCACTTTAAAATGACACCAACGTAGTTTCTTTATGCTGTACATAAAATTTACCAGTTGAAAATATTCTTTTTAGCCTACCAAATCAACTCCTCTGGGTTATTCAGATGGTGATCCGGTGTTTACATATCATCCTGATACTTGGAAGCAATGTACTGCATCTCATTTAAGATCGAATTCTGCTTCTTCGAAGTTGCCGCAAAGTCACTGTCGTGTCCTCACAGCTGCTACAGGTGTCACTCAATTATCAGAACCATTTCCAGTTGGAGGAATCGGAACAACAGATGAGCCGGATGGATTGTCCAACACAAGTGGTAAGTTTTCATGTTGACTGTTTTCAATACTGCACATTTTGAAATATGACTTAAATTCGTTTCCTCAGTGCACTGCATATGACCGAAAATTGTCTATTACGATATTATTAAAGGAAAATGTTTCTCAATTACCAACTCTGCAGTCCGACCACTTGAAATCGTTTTATCGTCCACCCCCATCGACGCTACTGTGTTGTGATACGACTTAAAATCAAAGTTATTCTGCTAGTTGAATTTATAAAATAAAGTTTCTCACAAACAACCAGTAGTGCCAATGATCATGTTTTATCATTTTGAGATTTTATTTTTATTTATTTATTTGAACACATAAATATTGGTACACGGGGCACCAAATATATATACGCCACACAAAACAATGAATATTCGAAGAGAGAAATAAGAACAATAACGAACAGATTACTGTAAGGTAGTGTATTAATAATAATAATGGGGGAAAAGGAAAGGTACAATCAGAAGAAATCTTCCAGTTAAGGAAGATAAGTTTTTTTATGAAGAAAGTAAAAGAAGGTTACAGCAGGATCACCACTGGCTTCTATTCTGAGCCATATCTGATAACGTCTCTAGCCACTGTGTAGCACCATCTCTAGGACCCCAACCAGGGAGTCGTGAAGGACCAACACAAGCCAGTCCTTTGCAGCTTTCTTTCATACCACGACACCATGTCATGCACTGACCACCTCTCCGCTTCTTCCAACCAGTCCCAGAGTCGGCAAATAATGCACGACGTGGAATTCTCTGGGACGACATTCGTAGAACATGTCCAAGCCACCGAAGTCGGTGTTTCAAGATGGTGACACCAATTGATTATCATCTCTGTGCCCGAACACACGATGCCGAACCTCTGCATTACTGACATGGTGTTGCCACTGAATGTCAGCAATCCTTCGGAGACAGCGATGATCGAACACAGAGAGTCGTCTAACGTCCTCAACTCGGAGAGGCCAGGTTTCACAAGCATAGAGCAAAACTGCTCTCACCGACGCGTTGTAGATCCGACCTTTTACAGCCAGACTAACATCACGAAGGCGCCAAAGGTGGCCCAGATTGGCATAAGCCGCTCTGGCTTTCACTATGCGTGCATTGATCTCATCACTCACGCCACCACCAGCACTTATGCAGCTACCCAGATACACGAACTTCTCGACTACGTCTATCTGCTCACCATCCAGGGTGAGTACAGGATTAGAATCCTGCCAGTCTTGTAGAAGTACTTTGCACTTCGAAGGTGCAAAGCACATACCATACCTACGGACACTGATTGCCAACTGATTAAGTGCGGATTGCATGCCTTGGGCATTATCGCACAGTAAGACAATATCGTCCGCATACTCAAGGTCGAGAAGTCTTTCTCCAGGCAACAGATCCACACCACCATTACTTACATTCATCAGAGCTGTTTCCAGAATGTCATCGATGGCAAAGTTGAAGAGGAATTGGGCAACCCTGCCTAACCCCACTGCTCGAATGGAACAATGGAGAGAGGTGGTTGTATGCCCTCACTCTGCCTGAGGTGTTTGTATATAGGGCCTTTAGGATGTTAATAAACTTCTCAGGCACACCCTTCTTCAATAGACAATCCCAGAGAACAGTCCTGTCCAACGAATCGAAGGCAGCCCTGATGTCAAGAAACACTACGATTGTTGGCCTTTGATAAGTATGGCGGTGTTCTAACATTTGGCGGAGGGTGAAGATATGATCAATACATCCTCGACCAGAACGAAACCCAGCCTGCTCCTCGCGAGTCAATCTTTCTCGGGTTTTGAACAACCTACGAAGTATGACGGAAGCCAATAGCTTGGACGCAATCGGAAGTAGACTTATCCCCCGATAGTTGTTACAGGAACGACGTGAACCCTTTTTAAAGATAGGGACAACTATCGACTCATTCCATGACGTTGGTACACTCTCTAGTTCCCAAACCTTTGTAAACAACGTCGTCAATTCCTTAGTCAAAAAGTCACCACCATCTTTAAAAAGAGCCGGAGGTAAGTCATCTGGGCCAGGTGATTTGTAACGCTTCAAGAGTTGGAGTTCCTTGCGGACTTCCGCCTCATTTGGTGGATCAGTCGTCACCGGCCATGGAGGGCAGGACAGTCCGACCGATGTTGCCGGAGCAGCAGGCCAGTTGAACTGCCCTTCGAAGAATTTTGCCCATAGTTCAAGACGTCGACATATATTGGTGATTGGCATTCCGTCATCTTCACAGATTGTTTCGTGCACACCAGACTTCTTGCTGCCAGTGGCTCGGATGAGTTAAAAGAGATTCCAGCAGTTACCAGATGCAACTGCTGCTTCCAGTTCATTAGCACACCCCGACCACCAGGATTCTCGGTCCTTAAGCAAGTTTTGCCCGATTTCATTGCGTAACATCCTTCGTTTGTGGTCAAATTTACGGTGACCCGGAGTAGACCGACGGGCTTCGACGAGTTGTAAGGAGCCTGAAGAAACCCAGTGCTTATGAGCGGAACGTTTCGCGAAGCCGCAAGCGGCTTTACTCGCCATTTTGATGCCGTCATGAAGTTGCAACCAATGCTCATCTATACTTTTCGGTGGAATGGTAGCTAGCCTAGAAGCTAGCTCGATTCGATACTTACTTGCAATAGAAGTTTCAACCAACTTGCTGACATCACCCTTTGGTGGCGGTCACTTCGTTGGCCACTGAAAAGTAAGGTAAGATTAGCGCAAACAAGGGAATGATCAGAGTCCAGATAGGTACTTCAAAAGGAGCGGCGGTCTTGTACACAACCACTCCAGTGGTAGCTGATCGCGATTTGATCAATCTGAGTCCAGGATTGAGATGCAGAGGGAGGACGCCAGGGGCACATCGGCGATGACTATGCCGGAAGTTAGTGCTAGCCAGAAACAGGTTGTGGTCTGTGCACAGTTGCAGTAGACGGTCCCCGTTATCTGACCTGCGACCAACAAGTCCCATCGGCCACCTAGACGACTCTCTTCTGTGCGTAGACGCCCGACCTGAGCATTCAAGTCTCCAGCTAGTACTACAATATCTGTCGAACACACTTTCTATAGAAGAACAGTTAACTGGCAGTAGAATTCATCCTTGATCGCATCCAGGCTGCAATCTGTCGAGGCGATGACGAAAAGAAATCGTTTCTCACACTAATTTCTTTTTAATTTGATGGGATTTCCTAATCTAACAGTACATAACCGTCTGTTAATGGAGATCCAATCGATGAGTGCTGCCTCAGTTCTAGCGCTTAGTGCGACACCAACGCCAGCAAGACCAGACGAAGATGCCACAGGGTCCCCGAATAAACACACGTGAAACAAGCTTTTCGAAGTGACAGATGGAGAGCGGATTTGTAGTACTTCACCAGAGTCTTGAATACGGGTCTCGGATAGAAAATAGACGTATATATAAAGACCTTCCAAAGACATATTCAGACCTATCTGTTGTCTGATCTGTATAATTGTGCGAACGTTGAAGGCAGCCAGTTTTAATAGTGCACATATTTTCGGAAAAACTGCTTTAGTATTCGTATTTGGTGGTAGCATACAATTTTCAACGAGGCAGTGACTCGAGAGCGTTTAGATACAACCGAGTTTACACCATAGGCGAGCTGTTGTATAAGTAGAAAAATAAGGATTCATAAAGTGGGAATAAAAAAGAGTGAATAAATGACGTAAAAAAATATTAATGTGAATCGTTTGATTGTTAATCGAAGCAAAACAAGCATTTTCCATAAATATTGACATTTTATCATATTTGTGTGTGGGCTGTGAGACTGCCCGGGTGCCTAGACCGAAGCAGGTGGTGGTTTTCTTAATGGGCCACACCCCGAGCCTTTGGCCTAAAGGTCTGACCCACAAGGCAGTTCAGCATCGTGTGGAGATGCAGTCCCATGGTAGCCGGTGACCAACGATTGGTTCATACGCCATTTGTTCCCTCAGCATACTGGAGCCCATATGCACCATTGATTTGGGATCCGGTTTAAGCTCCGGACATTCGCTTTTCGTCCTTTCATTTTCGTAAACAACACCCCCGCCACGAGAAGGCATTGAGTAAGACTTCCCTTGCAGAGGCTGTATACGCGTGGTCATGTGAGAGCATTTCGAGAGGGGGGTGGGCCTTCCACACTCGGCCATACCCCAGGGTATTTGGGGGCATCATTTTGAGGAGAGGCAACAAATGTCAGTTAGGAAAACGTCTTACCCCAAGCGTTGTACTCGACAATGACTTTCTCTAAGAATTGAAGAGCACTGTACAAGTGGTAGCACTTCTAAAGACATCCAAATAAAAGACCTTAAGTGGATATTCACTAGTTTTTACTCCATTATTGAATAAAGCGACACTGGTTATCAAATTGCTTTTTAAGGTAATTCGAAAAATAAGGTGAGAAAGTGATGATCACGCTGTGCACTTCTACCGTTACATGTTACTCACCAATGAACCTTTTTCATAATCAACTTCTATCTTTCCATGTTTCTTCAAATTTCTTCGTCCCCCCATATCCATAGATTTTATTTTATTGATTCGAAATTATGAGGTTGTACCTCTAAGTTCGTTAAACTCTCCAAATGGACTTACAAATTGGCTAGTACATGGCATACAAATTCATGAATCTAAGTCTCCACATCCCAAGTCAGGATAGCAAAATGAAACTAATTAGATGGATAACCAAAGAAATAAAAGTAATCACATTGATAATAGTGGTAAAATACAGTCAAACGTAACAAATCGAACTGGGAAATGGGGGGAGGCACCGAAAAAGATGGAGATCGATTGCGTTCGTGCAACGACAACCGTTGTTGAAGCACATATCCCATAGTATTCAACCGTTGATAACGATTATGCCGAAAATACAGTTAGACAGCATGGATTTTCTTACACGACTCAAGTCAACAGATAAAAACTTCGTCAATTGATGTCATGCCTTTGCTCCGGTTAACAATAATATTTTCCCTACATATTATCCTTGCCGGTATAGTGCATCAAGAAAGGTGGTGTTTATGCATAACATTTTCAAGCGAACTTGATCGATGACTCTGCGTTACACCATAAACCAGTGCTTTCTATTTTAAATAAGTTTCATATGTAATCACCCTAAAAATCAACTGTGAGAACATATGAATTTTACACACACCCCATACATTCAGAAATCACGTTTCACCAATGTACTATAGTTGATATTAGCATCCTTTTGAAGTTTTTCCTGCCATATCACCTTTGATTTATGGATGCCATTGGAGTTAGAGTACTGCCACAAACAGTCGTTTTTGCGTCACTTTATACAGAGTGATGAATACAGAAGGTGTTACACAACATCACTGTTTTTCAAAAATGCGTAACCTTATTGAGGATGTCTGAGCGATGACCTTTCTTTTGTCCGGTTTCACGAAGCAGACTGCCAAAAGACTTGTCGATCATTGGAATCAAGTGCTCCTTTTGAGTCATAAAATACAATCTCAATTTTACCTCAGTAAGCGTGCCCTTATTTCAGAGCCTGCGGATTAAATGCTAAGCCTGAAACATACCTGGCTTTCCTATATTTGTTGTCCTCGAGTTCCCATTGGCAACTGATCAGTTTGAATGTTAAGATCTCGGAGACGATATAAATCAAATTGATTTCCCTATGGTTATCGCTGAAAGATTCGTATTTTCTTGCAAATTGTAGTGATTACGAATCGAGGCCGGCTAGATATGGTTACAGTATCTCTCTAACCATCATAAAGAAACACCTGGAACTAAATTATCATAGCCTGCTGTTCTCCCATAGTTCAAGTCACTTATATTCTCAACCCCTTCAAGAGTTGGAGGGAGACCGAAGATTAACCTCAAGCCTGTTTACTTTTCCCTTCCGTCTTTATAATCACGTAATTTGATAGTAGAGTCTATAAAAAACTTTTCTTCGGGATTTTTTCACTAACTACTAACTTTTTCAGTAGTTACCTTGTTACTGTATTCGTACTTTTAATTGCGTACTCTTTAACTGTAAATAGTTCTGTTTGCACTATAGAAATGACGTTGTATTTCCTTACATACTAAATACTATTTATGAAAGTAAACTGCCTAGTTTATTCCAGACCGGCCTGTTTCTTTAAATTGTTCTTCTGTTTTTTTTTAAACCTTTGTTATGATGAAGTACATTTCCAGAATATGTACTATGAACCTATTTTTAATCCACCTTTCACTAAAAGCACAATGTATTATTTTGACCTCATTATTCCATTTGAATAAATACGTTTGATTATTTGTCATGTTGATGCTTAGACTTATGTATGATAAATGTAAGCTTTGTGAATCAGTGGTTCATTGCCCATCATGTGCTAAACCCGCAATACCAGCCTGTTAAAAACTACCAAAGAAAGTTGATAGCACTTGCCAAAATAAATCATCCCTCAAACTGTAAATTACAGACGACAAGCTTATTATTATTATTATTTTCCCATTATTGAGACTCGTTTATTTAGTGTATTAAGAGTCAAAATTAGCTCTTATCACTTCAAACTCTATGTTGTCAGTCTCCGATAATCGGCTATGAGAAAAAAAGAGTATCAGTAGTCACAACAACTTATCAAGTACGCACCACTGGGTTTCAATCCGACCATTCATTAAAAAATTGTTTTCTGTCTTTCAATCATATTCTGAAAGTAGCCGTTACCAATTAAGTTAAAATGGACATAAGCTTTCACTGTATACTTACTTGTACTACAAAGACATTTTTCTTAAAATATCAGCCATTTGATGAAAGACTTATCATTTCTGAGAATTAAACATCTCAGTATATTCATTATCTAATTAAAACATATCATTTCTATCAAGAATTTTTACAAAATGTCCCTTTACATTTTCCGTTACAGATGATGTTTGTATGGATAGTTCAAGTCAAGACAGCTATTCGGGGAATACAGCTCCCGTTCGTACGAATACTGATGTTATGCACATTTTGAACGCATCCCTTGGTTCTGAATTTAATGGCAATGTGGATCCTGGGAACAATAAATCTCAGTATTCTAATTGTCGTTTGAGATCAGCTCTACTAACACCCTATTCTCCTGGTTCTGAAATACATTCCATTAACAGTGTTAGGCACTTGAATCATTTTTTGAATAAGGATCTCTCCACTTCTAACATATCGCTTCAACAGAGACCAGTTACCGAAAGTATTCAACCCGAAATATTTTCTAATAGTACTTCATCACAACGACTGCTGGAAGTTCTTTCTAGGCCATATGAAAATTATGATGATGTAGATCAACGTAACTCTAAGTTTCGAGCATCTGAAAGCCCTCAAAGTACTCCAACTATTCATCAAACTTCCTGGAGTGCACCTCCGTCTGTCTCATCCAGTAGTTGTGCTACTCCGGATAAAGAATGTTGCGATACACCGAATCAAAGTGAAATTCCCCAACCAGTTCGTCCAACACGTTTCAGTTGTTCAAGTTTACCCGTAAAGAAACGCAAGTTGGATTGGAAACAGTCAGATAATTGGTTCCCTGACTTACAGTCATCTGATAAGCATTTATGTAAATTTAGGAAAACTCCCAACATTAATTCGTCAGATCTTGTTAGTACTACTGGTTTTATAACGACACTAAGTCATGATAATCTCACATACTGTTCATCGAGTGGGAGTACCCAGAAAGGCGGAAATCGGTTGGTGGTAGTATATCTGTATCGGATAGTACTCAGCAGTCTGTCATTTCGAAGACTACCATTCCTCTATTGAGAACTTGTTCTGTGCCTGTAAACAATGAACAGCGTATGAGTAAGTTTCTAAATATTTATTTATTTATATTTAGTATTGCTCAACGTTTTTATTCTAAATCGATGTGTAGCGATTAGATATATGATCATACTATAATAAAATTCCTTAAAACAGCGCTGTCTGAACCTATTTTATTACTCAAGGGTTTCTACTTGGATCTCTTTATTTATTTGAACACAAATATTGGTACAAAGGGCACCAGATACATATGCAGCACACAATAACAATGAGGATGTAAGGTGCGTATAAGAAAAAGGGGAACAATGGCGGACAGAAATTAGTGTATGATAGTGAGATAATAACAATGGGAGAAGCAATCCAGTTAGCAAAAGTGCAACCAGAAAGAACTCTTCCGGTTAAAGAAGTTACTTCCATTTTTTACGAAGTAAAATAAAGTTACAACAGGATCACCACTGGCTTCTATTCTGAGCCATATCTGATAACGTCACTAGCCACTGTGTCGCACCATCTCTAGGACCCCAGCCAGGGAGTCGTGAAGGACCAACACAAGCCAGTCCTTTGCAGCTTTCTTTCATACCACTACGCCATGTCAAACACTGACCACCTCTCCGCTTCTTCCAACCAGTCCCAGAGTCGGCAAATAATGCACGACGTGGAATTCTCTGGGACGACATTCGTAGAACATGTCCAAGCCACCGAAGTCGGTGTTTCAAGATGGTGACACCAATTGATTATCATCTCTGTGCCCGAACACACGATGCCGAACCTCTGCATTACTGACATGGTGTTGCCACTGGATGTCAGCAATCCTTCGGAGACAGCGATGATCGAACACAGAGAGTCGTCTAACGTCCTCAACTCGGAGAGGCCAGGTTTCACAAGCATAGAGCAAAACTGCTCTCACCGACGCGTTGTAGATCCGACCTTTTACAGCCAGACTAACATCACGAAGGCACCAAAGGTGGCCCAGATTGGCATAAGCCGCTCTGGCTTTCACTATGCATGCATTGATCTCATCACTCACGCCACCGCCAGCACTTATGCAGCTACCTAGATACACGAACTTCTCGACTACTTCTATCTGCTCACCATCCAGGGTGAGTACAGGATTAGAATCCTGCCAGTCTTGTAGAAGTACTTTGCACTTCGAAGGTGCAAAGCACATACCATACCTACGGACACTGATTGCCAACTGATTAAGTGCGGATTGCATGCCTTGGGCATTATCGCACAGTAAGACAATATCGTCCGCATACTCAAGGTCGAGAAGTCTTTCTCCAGGCAACAGATCCACACCACCATTACTTACATTCATCAGAGCTGTTTCCAGAATGTCATCGATGGCAAAGTTGAAGAGGAATTGGGCAACCCTGCCTAACCCCACTGCTCGAATGGAACAATGGAGAGAGGTGGTTGTATGCCCTCACTCTGCCTGAGGTGTTTGTATATAGGGCCTTTAGGATGTTAATAAACTTCTCAGGCACACCCTTCTTCAATAGACAATCCCAGAGAACAGTCCTGTCCAACGAATCGAAGGCAGCCCTGATGTCAAGAAACACTACGATTGTTGGCCTTTGATAAGTATGGCGGTGTTCTAACATTTGGCGGAGGGTGAAGATATGATCAATACATCCTCGACCAGAAAGAAAACCAGCCTGCTCCTCGCGAGTCAATCTTTCTCCGGTTTTGAACAACCTACGAAGTATGACGGAAGCCAATAGCTTGGACGCAATCGGAAGTAGACTTATCCCCCGATAGTTGTTACAGGAACGACGTGAACCCTTTTTAAAGATAGGGACAACTATCGACTCATTCCATGACGTTGGTACACTCTCTAGTTCCCAGACCTTTGTAAACAACGTCGTCAGTTTGTTAGCCAGAAAGTCACCACCATCTTTAAAAAAGGCCGGAGGTAAGTCATCTGGGCCAGGTGATTTGTAGCGCTTCAAGAGTTGGAGTTCCTTGCGGACTTCCGCCTCATTTGGTGGATCAGTCGTCACCGGCCATGGAGGGCAGGACAGTCCGACCGATGTTGCCGGAGCAGCAGGTCAGTTGAACTGCCCTCCGAAGAATTTTGCCCATAGTTCAAGACGTCGACATATATTGGTGATTGGCATTCCGTCATCTTCACAGATTGTTTCGTGCACACCAGACTTCTTGCTGCCAGTGGCTCGGATGAGTTAAAAGAGATTCCAGCAGTTACCAGATGCAACTGCTGCTTCCAGTTCATTAGCACACCCCGACCACCAGGATTCTCGGTCCTTAAGCAAGTTTTGCCCGATTTCATTGCGTAACATCCTTCGTTTGTGGTCAAATTTACGGTGACCCGGAGTAGACCGACGGGCTTCGACGAGTTGTAAGGAGCCTGAAGAAACCCAGTGCTTATGAGCGGAACGTTTCGCGAAGCCGCAAGCGGCTTTACTCGCCATTTTGATGCCGTCATGAAGTTGCAACCAATGCTCATCTATACTTTTCGGTGGAATGGTAGCTAGCCTAGAAGCTAGCTCGATTCGATACTTACTTGCAATAGAAGTTTCAACCAACTTGCTGACATCACCCTTTGGTGGCGGTCACTTCGTTGGCCACTGAAAAGTAAGGTAAGATTAGCGCAAACAAGGGAATGATCAGAGTCCAGATAGGTACTTCAAAAGGAGCGGCGGTCTTGTACACAACCACTCCAGTGGTAGCTGATCGCGATTTGATCAATCTGAGTCCAGGATTGAGATGCAGAGGGAGGACGCCAGGGGGCACATCGGCGATGACTATGCCGGAAGTTAGTGCTAGCCAGAAACAGGTTGTGGTCTGTGCACAGTTGCAGTAGACGGTCCCCGTTATCTGACCTGCGACCAACAAGTCCCATCGGCCACCTAGACGACTCTCTTCTGTGCGTAGACGCCCGACCTGAGCATTCAAGTCTCCAGCTAGTACTACAATATCTGTCGAACACACTTTCTATAGAAGAACAGTTAACTGGCAGTAGAATTCATCCTTGATCGCATCCAGGCTGCAATCTGTCGAGGCGATGACGAAAAGAAATCGTTTCTCACACTAATTTCTTTTTAATTTGATGGGATTTCCTAATCTAACAGTACATAACCGTCTGTTAATGGAGATCCAATCGATGAGTGCTGCCTCAGTTCTAGCGCTTAGTGCGACACCAACGCCAGCAAGACCAGACGAAGATGCCACAGGGTCCCCGAATAAACACACGTGAAACAAGCTTTTCGAAGTGACAGATGGAGAGCGGATTTGTAGTACTTCACCAGAGTCTTGAATACGGGTCTCGGATAGAAAATAGACGTAGATATTAAAACTTTAAGGACACAACCAACCTTATGTTTTGTCCGATCTGTTGACGTTTGAGGAAGCTAGTTTGGATGGTAATATATGATTTATGAAAGACTGTTTCAGTGTTCGTATTCGGTGGTAGCATTCAACTTCCGACCGCTCGGTGATTTGAGATAGTTTAGATAGACGAGCTTCTGTTTAAGTTGAAAAATAAGGATACACAAAGTAGGAGTAAGTGACGTAGTACATAAACAAATAAAAATGAATGTTGTCAAATGGATGTGAGTTTTCTGTATTTTAATCGGAGCGAGAATAGTATTTACATTAATTATTGTCATTTGATTTTATTTGTGTGTGGGCTGTGATACTGCCTGGGTGCCCAAACCGAAGCATGGTGGTTCTCGTTTTCTAAGTGAGGTACGAACTTTTCGTGTTTACAGAATTCTACCCGGTGGAATGATAAAGCTCACTTGTTTGTCCCATCACAGTCTAAATCTGCTCGTCATGAAGAAATGCTGTTCGCCTTCAAACCCCACTTTCATTGTCAAGCCGTAAAAAACAAATAACACAGCAAAGATCCCACCCCTAATCTGAATTTTACAGGTTGTTCAATTGTGAATTGGATGAAGTGGATTATTTATAAGATCATATTCGTAGTTGAAATTAGTGTACATATCGTAAAAGTAATAACAAACAACCTAGGTTTTTTTTTTCAGAAAAATGCAGAATTCTCTCAATTGCATGAGCCACCCGGTTAAATCAGCTGTCTACGCATATGCTAAGGTCGATTAATTGCATTCATTCATATTGATCGCCTGGCTGTCACTTGGCCTGTGTTTTCAGTAATTCCCATGACCTTGTATTTATTGCTAGTGGATAATTTCTAGACATATTGGACATACGACCGCCTGTCTGTAACACTTCTACATATCGATTAACCTGGCAAGACTATGATTGGTTAACTTATACTCAGGTGGGGGTGTCGCTTAAATGCACACGTATGCCAAACTCACAGCCTACTAAATCAATTCCATGAGATGTCCTTTCTGAAGTCTTCTGACACTGAACCAATTTTAGGACCTGTCATCAAGCTAAGTATAGTAAGTAGTTTTCCTAATAAATTGCGCTTGGTTCGCCAACCTTCTAAATCCGGAGAATGTTTATCTGCAATTCCCAACTCCAAAAAACTCGATCTCTCAGACACACTAGAGATACATGACCTTAAGCGATTAAAGGATTCAACTGTCAATATTTCTCTACGGCTAGGTCCTGAATGATTGACCTGAAGTAGTTATCCCTTGGGCACTGTGGTCACGCTCTCAGGTCACTAAGACCAACTATAACCCAATTTCTTTTCCAGGCATCCTTAGAAGAACCCTTCCATGGTGTGTAAAACCGGGAAGTGCTAACCACCCTCATACCTCAAACAGTACTCAAGACCACTGAGTCAAAACTAACCACTTGGATATTAGAATAATCGCTAAACAGTCAGTCAGCTGCAACATAGGACAAGACATATACATGCATCGGTCCAAGTCACCATACCTCATTAGCACAACCAAATGAATACCAAATCCATAGAAGTAGTTACTTCAATGGTAGTAATATATAAAAGAAAGATTGCGTATAGGGATATAATACAGGAATAAAGAATTAGTTCGTAGAAAGAAAGATATAAATTAGTTTTAATCTTACGGTTTAGGGGAAGACAACGAGTGTATACACCTACGCCATTGTGATCGATTCTGAGCCATGTCACTCCGAGTCTCCAACCATTGGTTACGATAGTCATGCGGACCCCAACCATGTAGTCTATATCTACCAACATGGCCCAGACTTTATGGACTGATGTCACGTTTTGGTCTGGTCGCTCCTAACTTTCATCCATCCGTCTCCAACACCAGTCAGCATTGCAAGCCGTCGCAGTTGATGGTTGGGCATGCGTAACACCTGGCCCAACCATCTCAGTCGATGAAGATTCACAACCTCAACAGCTCATTTACCACCATTCCGTAACACCCTGAGTCCAGCCTCACTATTACTTACCCAGTGGTCCCAGCATATCCGAGAAATATTTCTAAGACATCTGTGATCAAATACTAGTAGCTTACAAGTATCTTCTACCCTTAATGACCACGCTTCGCAGTCTTAAAGTAGAACAGAGTGAACTGCTGCACAGTATACTCGTCTCTTAATTGGTAGACGGATATCTCGCCTTGTATAGGTCACCTATGGAGATTGTATTAATTTTAAGAGTTGACTTCATGATTCCATCTAAGCTAAACCCCTATTGAAAACCTGGAAATAATGGGCTCCCGTTTCGTACTACTATTGGAATTTACATCAGTGCGCATGCAGAATTCCGCACGTGGGACTGGGAACCTAATATTTAAACCACTCAGCCGGCATTCGACGGTGTTAATGTCTAACTCCACTCAATCCATGATGTTGCACAACCCTTCGTTCATTGTCTGAGGTGGATTTCTGTCTTGCACCCTACATGGATTAAACTACACTGGTCACGCTTTCTCACTAGAACCCTTGGAAATCCATTTTGAAGCTAGTCACTAATGAGCGCATGACTATCAGGATGGGGAGTTACAGAGGCCGAAGGCTCTGTGTTCGAATTACTTACGGAATCGTGGATGCGCACTTCCGAAGAGTCCCATACTAGGCCGAAACGGCCGTTTTGGTTTTCATTGGTTGACTGAGGAGTTCAACTGATAGAATTATTATTAGTAGTATTATTCTAAGTCATGAATGTAAACGCTGTAACAATTTGATCTGATTTAGGTGAAGTATTTTCAGCTTATATAATAGATAGTATATTGAAAACCAACAGAATTAGTGTTGTTGTTACATAACCTAGGATTCACAACTTGGTGGCTAGTTTGTCCTATAAAACCACTTCGGACATAATATACGTACATTGTAATGTCAAATAAATAAATAAAAGGTATTCACTTCATCAGCTTTGTGATACCGGTCTCCATATGCAGTATTTTCTTTCTGACATAAAAGTGTTTTGAAAAATGTGAAGACTTAGTTTTGTTGTGTAATATTAATTTTGAAGTCACCATAACTCTAGCATTCATCATATTTCCTTTGCTTTACCAGTCGTATGCATATAAACAAATCTTGAACATTTAAATGCAGTTACATTGTACAATAACATGTGGATATTAGGGGCAAAATAATTTAAAATAATAGTAATACCAAAATAGAGGAATCTATACACTATAGAAGTTCAAATTCAAATAAATGAATATTTGCTCTATGAGGACTTCTAACAGATCAGATGTTAAGATGAAATAATTTTAGTGGAGTTATGTTCTCTAAGGTGAAAGGTTCATTCGTGAAATTTTCTTTATCTTACTAGACATACTAGCACAAACTTCAGATAGATGTGAGCTATTCATATTCTTCTAAATATGCTAACATCTTGTTTTGTTAACACGAGATTTGATTGGTTGGTGGTGTAAACACTTGTTCTGTTATTGTTTACAATTCTATTTTGATTTAATGTTGACAAAACAAGCTCTAAGTCATATGTGAAGAAATTCAAATAGCTCACTTTAGTTTGAATGTAGTACTGATAATGCTGTCTAGAAAGAACGAAAGTCTCGCTATCATTGATTTAACCTCTAATCTAACCGTAAAGTAGGTCTCTGAAAAATTTTTCACTTAATTCCTATTCGATTACATAGTTCAAATAGTCGATCATAGTAATGATGATAACTACGTAAGAAATTTTTCTTCACTAATAACCATAATCACTGATATACTCCATTGTGATGATCATTCTATAACTATCACTAGTGTATTCAAATGGTACACTTGTCAAAAGGGAAATTGCATGTAGTTTCTCCAATAACTATGTAAAGCAATCACATTGATGATAATCCTTCAAAGTTTTATATCTAGATTGAATGAAATATATGGTGTTAATATAAACTTGGCTACTTTTTAAACTGATGTAAATTTATATCAGACCCGAAGTTGTTTACCCGCTTACTCATATATCTGAATAACCTTACTGTTAAAAACAAAATTATTATTATTATGTAATATATATTGTGATCAGTATAATCTGAATATGCTTATTTTTTCTAAATTTTTTCATTAAAAACTATGCTAATGCTCGTCGTTGCTTCATTGTTTCTTTTCCAGTTCATTCATCAAAACTTTTAGATAATTTGACACTTTCTAAACATTTAATTGAAGAGAAAAAATCGTTAATAAAAACACCTTATCAAAATCATTTTTCTGTTCTTACCCGTACACTAACCGGTTCGGATAATATTAAAAATCACATTAACAGTTCAAAACAGTATTCCTCTGAGTTGACAACAGTGTCAAATGGTTCGGATTTTTCAAATTATCAAAAGATAATATTTTTATTAGTAATGATAACAAGAAGAGGAAATATGCCACTCTTTCCAGTGTTGATTTATGTACTTCAACGGTGGGTAGCAACTATTATCCCGGTGTTTTTAATAATAATAATAGTGATGAAGACTCGTATATTTCGAAAATCAATCATTCAACGACATCTTCCACTATTCATTACAATGCAAGGAAACCGATAACAGCGGATTTATTATTTCGTTCACCACATAGTACACATAAACATCGTTCTCATACCCATAATAACAATGACAATAGTAATAATCAATTAGCACTCTCTAATACTTCTGACAATATTCATAATCGTAATGAAATATTTGATTATACAAATGAAGTTCATCAACATCATTGTTTCTTAAAACTACAAACTGCTAGGACTGTAGAAATGGATGTATCCAATATATATGATAATAATAATAATAAATTAAATGGATCCACACCGGTGGTAGAACGCAAACACAATGGTCTTATACAAACTATACCGCATAATGAACATAACAATACTGTATCACATCAATTATCTCACACACTCAAAGAAGGTACTGTTTATAATTTTAATACAATTTGTCAGAAACAATCTAGCAATTCGGATAATAGTAATGATATCATATCAGTTCAAAACAGGAATAATCTTGTTAATAATTATCAACAATTATCATCTGTTATTAGTCAGTCAACAATGCTTCCTGAGTATGCTGTTACTACTACCTCTAATCCAACAACAACTACTGATGTTATTAGTCATAATCTTAATACTTATGTGAGTAGCTATTGTTTTTTGTGTTTGATCACTGATAATTTTTTGAGATTTTATTTTCTTGAGAAGTGATGGGAATGGTTTATACATTGAGTTATTTTCTCTTAGTAAATGTAAAACTCTTTTGTAAGTTCATCTACTTCAGCTATAAATATTATCCGTTGTTTCATAGAACAAAGAACAATAATAATAATAGCTTACTACTATTTTATCATAGAAATTTTTGAAGCATTACTTATTATCTAGTGAGCGACATTAGGCGCAAATTTATTGAAATTGTGTGAAATTATTAAACGTTATGTTTCGTTTCACCTTTGAACTATTCTTCATTTCTTTGAACATAATTGTAGAATCAAATAGTTCATTCATTGTAGTGGAGCAATGACTCAGTAGTTAAGGCGTTCAAATTTAAGCCATTGAGTAGCAGTTTCAAATCCCTATCTGCCTGTTACGGTTTAGGAAACTTGCTAGTATCACTAACCCTCACGTTTAGAATGCGGGTCACCATAGTTCAGGATTATTAAAGTGATTTATCACGGTACCTACACAACGGGAAAAGCAAGATCCGAAAATAAAACAGCGAGCGCCAATCTAATCACATTTGATAGAGAAGCTCTGGAAGAGGTGGTACTTCTACGTAACTGGACAGCATCATTGATAAACAGGAAGGATCTGATGTAAATGTAAAGGCAAAAGTCGGCAAAGCAATGACAGAACTCTTGCAATTGAGAGCATCCGGAACTCGAAACAACCGTCAACTAATACTAAAGTCGGAATTTTCGATGCAGACATCAAGAAAATCCTATTATGTGGAACTGAAACCTGGAGGACTACAATTATCATCAAAAAGTTGTCTACACAAGATACTCCATATCGGTTGGCTAGATACCATCAGCAAATAACCTGTGGCAGAGAACAAATCGGCTTCCAACTGAAGAGGAAATTAGGAAAAGACACTGAAAGTGTACAGGGCATGCATTGCAGATATCATTAAACTGCATCACAAGTCAAACTCTAATTTGAAATCCACAAGACATGAAAAAGAAACAGACCCAAAACACATTGCGCCAGGAAATGGAGGCAGACATAAAAAGAATGAGTAGCAATTGGGAACAGCTGGGAAGGAGGGCCCGAAATAGAGTTGGTTGGAGAATCCTGTTCATTTACGAGGGATAAAAGGCGTAAGTGAGTAGCTGTACCTACCTACCTATCCAAGCTTGCATCTTGAACAATGTTTAAAAAATTTTACTTAGATTTTTTATGTAACATATGTTATATGTCTAGTGCTTCACAAAAACATGATATACTCTTAGGTTAATTTAAAACAAGCTAAAAATAAAATAGTTATTATAACCCCATTCTCTTCATTGATCCTGCTAACATGTTTTTATTATATATGGTATTATCCTCGTTTGAAACTACACATTCAGTAACGGATTAGTCAGTCACTCAATGGGACTTTTCTTTCTCTACGCATCCTGCACTAAAAACCAGAATTCCATATTTCAAGTTTAATTATATTTTATAGGAATTATAAATATGAAAGAATAATCAGGTATATATATTTTTAATGTTTTCATAGATCGATTCAAGCATCAAAAGTGAGTGTACACGTGTTTCTGTAAATTCCAGTCCTATGAAATCAATTATGCCAGAATCTACAATCAATAAACCACCTACGGAACAGTTGAAATATTCACATGGAAATTTACCTAATGGTGCTACCACATTATCACCATCATCATCGTCTATGTTAGCGAATCAAATGAATGTCAACGGTGCACATGTTATTATGATGCTCTCTCCGTCTATCACAATCCCGACATCTCTTCATTCATCGTCAGCTAATCAGATTAGTACATCATCATCATCATTTTCAAATGTTCAACAATCTTCTTCCAATTATAATAACAATAATAATTCTAAAATCATACCACATTCATCTAATTGTTCTCAAACTTATACTACCCCGCCATCACTACATCAAACTTTGTAAGTAGTAGTAGTAGCACGTCATCTTTCCCCTTACTTTTAATCTCTGCTTCTTCATCGGCCAGTGCGGTTGCATTAGCTGAGGCTGCTGCTTTAGCCACAGGAGTACCGTCGACAAGTTTTGTACCCGTTCCTGTACAAGTCACTACCTATGTCCCTCCACCATCATCAACAACAATCACAACAACACGATCCATAAAAAATGAAGAGCATAATGACAAATTAAATAATCAATGTAAAATTTCCAATTCATTGAATAATGAAATTAACACCATTTCGAATCAACATTTTATTCTGTCAGTCATGGTGACTGATAATCATGTTCATAATAATGATGATGATAATAATAATAATAACAATAATGGTAATGGTGATAATCAGAAATCATTTTCAGTTCAAAGAAAAATCCCATTTGTCTTAAGTACACCTAGTTTCCATTCAAACGTCAATAATATTCAAAATGATAGAAATATCATCATTGATGGTAAACAACATCATTCCACTCCATCAGTATTAAAAGATATTTCATTGACTAACACATCTGATGATAACGTTTATGATAGTAAATTGACCCATCAAGCTGTATAATGTAGCTGATGATGATAAAAACTGAGGGGGGATAGGCAGCATGAAAATAGAAAGTGTCACTTAATTGATAAAGGAAATGACAAATACAATCTCTATACTTGTAAACTGACAATATGCCTCTATCCCTACTACCATTACTACTGCTTTTGTTGCTACACATAGCACAGTAGTATTCAAATAAAGGTCTCTTTATACTTATCAGTGTATTCCCTCGATCTTCTCATTAACTATTACTTCAACAAAGTGATTCGTTCACCTGAAATAATTCTCTTTTGATCATTACTTTTTAGTTTTCCTTTTATATTTATTCCATTTATCGTCAAAATAATCTCTTTTTTATGTTGATGTGTACGTGTGTTCATGTTTCAATGTTTCTACCACCAACTGTCACATTTCTTCTAAACAAATAAGATCTACGCTTTTTTATTATTAGGTGTCGAATAATTACTAATAGGCTATCAGATCACGTTAATTATCTTATACATTTTTCAGTTTTCTTTATCGTTTTCTTGTTTTTACAAATTATTTGTATATTTAGGTTCCATTAAAATCTATCATCATGGCAACTATCATCATTAGTGTCATTATCATTTTTGTGTGACCTCTCCCTCACTACGCGCCTATACACACATACATCGTACGTTTGCTATTCTCTCACCACCACCACTCTTGCTCTGTTGTTTCCTTCCTTAAATACATGTAAACGGAATATACCTATTAAGACAAAATAGGGAAGATATATATGTGCTAAACTATTTGTTCTCACTTTGTGTGCACTATTTTCTGGTATATATCCAGTTTTAGTTTACATTGTATCAATATGTTACGTGTAAACACAAAATCCCCTTCTTTGCTGTCTTTTCTCTCCATCACTAGTTAATAAGAAAAAGTGAAATGATATTTTGAACAATCCCACCGTGCTTCTGTTTCCTTTCTTTCTAATTCGTTTATTTCTTGTCTCTTATCTGATTTTTCAACATACCACGTTTTACAATGGGAAGATGGGCAATTATATAATATTATTATAATCACTTTTTCATGTGTTTGTTTTTTGAATTATTCCTTACTGGATTATTACTACTCTGTGATGGGCGCGGGAACTTCGAGCGATACAATTGTTATACCAAAGCAAAATGTATTAAACATATTGAAGAGACTATGCTTCAAGGAAATGAAATTGCATTTCTCCCTCTTTTTCCTGTTTATCGTCATCAACGCTAGACATCTAAAAACAATATCATATCACCCGGTTCACATATTAGGCTCATATTATTATCCAATCTATATCATAATGTTTGATTCTTTTATCTCCTTCCTGTTCTCGCCCCCACTCTCCAACTCAAATCACATGAGCTAACCTTGGTGTCTATCGTAGACACCAGCTAGTTGTCAGTGATGAGATACTGTTTGTCTCCTTCTCTTCTATTAATTATTTCATAAATGATTAATTGCCATTTTGTTATATTTTTTTTCAATAGGGAAATTTATTCCTATTTCTACATTTATGTGTAACATCACTCAGTTTTTCTTATTAAAGAAATACAAAATAAGACTTTTCAAGTCCATCATATTTACTGCCGCGACTCTCCACTCACTCATTTACTTGTGTTAACACAAAAAGGGAAAAATTCTAATTCTCAAAAAATATACAGGTAGGTAAAATCGTCTGGAATGCGGCGTTTATTACGTGTTATTATTGTTTATTCTTGCTGACGTTATTTATCATCAATCTACTTGTTCTTTTACCGAATACTCTACTCTTCTTGCCTTTTTTTATTCACTAATTGTTGCGATTCCGCGGTAGTTTTCCTCAAACTTCTTTATTTGTTGTCTGTTCCTCATCTTTATGTGTATGTATGCGTGCGGGTACTTCCACGCACATTTGTGTATGTCTATCTGTTTGGTGATTTTTTTTAAACCATAAATTGACGATTACGATGTTATTAACGATTTCGGATAATTCTTCATTTTTTCCCCTTCATACTTTTGTCAAATGTATTAATGCTTTGTGTGTGTAAGTATGAATAAAATATAAATTATCTTTGAATACAGTAATATTTGTGTTATGGCGTAATTATTTATTTCTTAAGTTCAATATATTTTAAATAGGAAACAATGGGGTTGAAATTTTAAAAACAAGTAATTAATAGTAACGATCCTAACTATCGTCTATCTGAAAACTGGATATTGGTTGAAGAGTGGTATAAATTCATAAGGGTGTTTACTTTTAGCATTGGAGAATACAGAAAACTGTTGGTTTAGTCCTTGAGGTTCTTTACATCAGCAATTCATGGTTAGATGTTTCAAGTAATTTTATTTAAACCACGAACCAATCTAAGACAACCACTGAAAACTTAGAGGCCACTTCATCCTAGTATGAGACTCCTCAGAAGTACGCGTCCATCACTCCACACCTGGTAATCGGACCCAGGACCTCTCGCTCCAACGCCTAAACTCTGGACCACTGATCCGCTACTCAATGATGTACAACCTTAACTTCAGTCAGCCCACCATATTGCGCCGCAGTTTTCCATTATCTTCGTAGGTAACCTCACACTAGCCACGGTTTAGCTTCACATCTCACAAAACCCCGGAGATTTTTTTTCAAAGCTAGTCGCTCCGGTTGCGAGGTTGTGGGTGTGTACTGCTGGAGAATCCTAGGCCAGGACGAAAAGGCCTTCTAGGTTCTCAGTGGTTGTCTGACTTAGATCAGTTTCTAATTTCAATGAAATCCGACAACCGCGTAATGGCGTTGAGTAACGGTTGGAATGCACAATTCATTCTTGTCTTTATTGGGCGCTTGATTGATCTGTAAGAAAGGCGACGGCCTAGGCTTTAATACTAGGAGTTTAGTAAGGATGGGTACAACCCATAAATTTATTTAGACTCCTAGACTGCACGGTGATCTTTTTCAAGTGAATAACTCGCACTAGCCTAGTCATGCTTGAATCTCACCTATCTTATAGTTTCCAAAACGCATATAATTTAATGATGCCTTTCTTATCTTTAATCATCGTACCTGGTACCTGACACATAATAAATTTATTAGTCGAATTCATGAGTCAACTGAATCTAGACCACCATGGAAAACCTGGAAGCACTGGACGGCCATCTCGCTTTAGTATGGGAATCCTCAGCAGTGCTCATCCACGATCCCGCCTCGTGAGATTCGAATCCAGGTGGTCTAACTTCAATTGACTTATGAATTCAACTACTAAATTTCTATAATGTCCACAAAATCCCTCTCTGAACATAATAAACAAACGAGTATTCGAGCGAAAACTATCAATCTCAACGGGATGATCATTCACAGTTCTTTTCAGACAGATCCAAGGTTAAACATCAATACAACTTTTTTTTCTCGACCACCAAGCACTTATATATCATGTTGGAGCGATAGCTAAGTGATTAATGCAATTGGGTTGCAGTTTCGATCTAGACTTACAAAAGTCAACTCCGCCTGGAGTCCCTCCGGGGGCTACTGCCGGTCCCAAGCCCGGATAAAGGAGGAGGGTTGGGCATGGGGTTAGCGTCCCCATCCCGTAGAAAACTAACTCGCTAAAAAAACGCTAACCAGAAAAAATTATTCAAACCTTTTAAACTCTGCCCTGGGAGTCAGAAGGTCTTCATTTAGAAGAATTATGACGCCTCATGATGAAAGCCGAATTCCTTCGGAAGTTACGAGGCCGATGCCCCTTCTGACAACCAGAGCGACCATTTATTTAGGTACATGGAATGTTCGTACAATGTGGGACACCGGGAGAGCCTTCCAAATTGCTGCAGAAATGAGAAGATACAACCTAGAGGTACTTGGGATCAGTGAAACACATTGGACACAAGTTGGACAACAACGACTAACTACAGGAGAGCTCCTGTTATACTCCGGCCATGAAGATGAAAATGCACCACATACACAAGGAGTTGCATTGATGCTGTCCAAACAAGCGCAAAATGCGCTTATAGGATGGGAATCTCATGGACCAAGGATCATCAAAGCCTCGTTCAAAACAAAGAAAGAGGGTATTTCAATGAACATCATCCAATGCTATGCGCCTACCAACGACTACAATGAAGACGCTAAAGATCAATTCTACAATAGGCTGCAGTCAATCGTCGAGAAGTGCCCAACAAAGGACCTGACCATTCTGATGGGAGATTTCAACGCCAAGGTTGGAACGGACAACACTGGATATGAAGACATCATGGGACGACACGGACTGGGAGAAAGAAACGAAAATGGTGAGAGATTTGCAAATCTATGTGCCTTCAATAAGCTGGTCATAGGCGGCACCATATTCCCACATAAACGCATACACAAAACCACATGGACTTCACCGGATCACTATACACAAAACCAAATCGACCATATTTGCATCAACAAAACGTTCAGGAGGACTATAGAGGACGTGAGAACCAAGAGAGGAGCTGATATAGCATCAGATCATCACTTGCTGGTCGCCAAGATGAAATTGAAACTCAAGAAGCACTGGACAACGGGGCGGACAATATCACAAAAGTTCAATACGGCCTTTCTTCAGGATACTAACAAACTCAACAAATTCAAGATAGTCCTCAGCAACAAGTTCCAGGCCTTTCATGATCTACTCAATGGAGAAGGAACTACTGTGGAGAGCAACTGGAAGGGGATCAAAGAGGCAATCACTTCAACATGTCATGAGGTCCTGGGTCACAAGAAGCACCATCACAAGGAATGGATCACTGTTGATACACTGGATAAGATTCAAGAAAGGAGGAACAAGAAGGCAGCAATCAATACCAGTCGAACAAGAGCAGAAAAAGCCAAGGCACAAGCTGAATACACAGAAGTAAACAAACAAGTGAAGAGGAGCATCAGAACCGACAAACGTAAATATGTGGAAGATTTAGCAACGACGGCGGAAAAGGCTGCAAGAGAAGGAAACATGAGACAATTGTATGACACGACAAAGAAACTCTCTGGAAATCGCCGCAAACCAGAACGACCAGTGAAAAGCAAGGAAGGCGAGGTAATCACCAACATTGAAGAGCAACAAAACAGGTGGGTAGAACACTTCAAAGAACTCTTGAATCGACCAGCTCCACTGAACCCACCCAACATCGAAGCAGCACCCACGGACCTCCCAATCAATGTTGGCCCACCAACAATTGAAGAAATCAGCATGGCCATCAGACAAATCAAGAGTGGCAAAGCAGCAGGACCGGACAACATCCCAGCAGAGGCACTAAAAGCAGACGTAGCGGCAACTGCAAGGATACTCCACATTCTCTTCAACAAGATTTGGGATGAGGAACAAGTACCAAAAGACTGGAAAGAAGGACTTCTGATCAAAATACCGAAGAAAGGCGATCTCAGCAACTGTGATAACTACAGGGGCATCACTCTTCTCTCAATACCGGGAAAAGTCTTCAACAGGGTATTGTTAAACAGGATGAAGGACTGCGTAGACGCCCAACTTCGTGACCAACAGGCAGGATTCCGTAAGGATAGATCGTGTACAGACCAAATCGCAACTCTACGGATCATTGTGGAACAATCAATTGAATGGAATTCATCACTCTACATCAACTTCATTGACTACGAAAAGGCATTTGATAGCGTGGACAGAACAACACTATGGAAACTTCTTCGACACTACGGCGTGCCTCAGAAGATAGTCAATATCATACAGAATTCCTATGATGGATTAAACTGCAAAATTGTGCATGGAGGACAGTTGACAAACTCGTTCGAGGTAAAGACCGGTGTCAGGCAAGGTTGCTTACTCTCACCCTTTCTCTTTCTCCTGGTGATCGACTGGATCATGAAGACGTCAACGTCTGAAGGGAAGCACGGGATACAATGGACATCTAGGATGCAGTTGGATGATCTGGACTTCGCAGATGATCTGGCCCTTCTATCCCAAACGCAACAACAGATGCAGGAGAAGACGAACAGTGTGGCAGCAGCCTCAGCAGCAGTAGGTCTCAATATACACAAAGGGAAAAGCAGGATTCTCCGATACAACACAGAATGCACCAATCCAATCACAATTGACGGAGAAGATTTGGAAGATGTAAAAACCTTTACATATTTGGGCAGCATCATTGATGAACAGGGTGGATCTGATGCAGATGTGAAGGCGCGGATCGGCAAAGCAAGAGCAGCATATTTACAACTGAGGAACATCTGGAACTCAAAGCAACTGTCAACCAACACCAAGGTCAGGATTTTCAATACAAATGTCAAGACAGTTCTACTGTATGGGGCAGAAACCTGGAGAACTACGAAAGCCATCATCCAGAAAATACAGGTGTTTATTAACAGTTGTCTACGCAAAATACTTCAGATCCGTTGGCCGGACACTATTAGCAACAACGTACTGTGGGAGAGAACAAACCAGATCCCAGCGGAGGAAGAAATCAGGAAGAAGCGCTGGAAGTGGATAGGACACAAGACAAGCCCTCACATGGAATCCTGAAGGCCAAAGGAAAAGAGGAAGACCAAAGAACACATTACGCCGAGAAATGGAAATAGACATGAGAAAAATGAACAAGAATTGGAGGGAACTAGAAAAGAAGGCCCAGGACAGAGTGGGTTGGAGAATGCTGGTCAGCGGCCTATGCTCCATTGGGAGTAACAGGCGTAAGTAAGTAAGTAAGTTACAAAAGTCACTCAAAGCTCCGAATACGTGAACCTACAATCGATTGTTGTGTTTTTACATTACGCAGTTGGCAATTATAATCGTCTAATAATTCATCGACTGAGAATAACAAATTTGTTATTACTTACTTACTTCCTCCTGTTACTACCAATGTAGCATAGGTCGCCGACCAGCATTCTCCAACCCACTCTGTCCTGGGCCTTTCTTTCCAGTCCTATCCAGTTTTTGTTCATTTTTCTCATGTCTGTCTCCATTTTCCAGCGTAATGTGTTCTTTGGTCTTCCTCTTTTCCTTTGACCTTCAGGATTCCATGTGAGGACTTGTCTTGTGACGCAGTCGGCTGCTTTCCTCATTGTATGTACTATCCACTTCCAGCTCTTCTTCCTGGTTTCTTGCTCCACTAGGATATGGT